ACACTTGAGCACTTGTAGTTCAGTATGTTCAAAGGCAAACTGATCTTCTCTCCAAACTTTAATACTGCTTCACGTTGCCCTGTTTAATGGCTTCCATAGGTCATCAAAGCTTGGACCTTCGGAATCATTGTTGACTTCCTTTTGCTACTTCATATATTATATAAGTCACAAGTTCCTGTTGATTCAACCTGTGAAATGTCTCACATCTGTCTTACCTTCTTAATTTCTATTGTGGATATGCTGTTTCAGACCCCTTATCTCTCTCACATGCATTCATGTATTCATTCAGCGAGTATTTATTGATTGCTTTTTATGTACCAGGCATAGTGTGAGAGTAGGTCTCACTAGGTCTCATTCAGTAAAGGTTGAACAAGGTATGTCCTCTCTCCTAAATAGAATACAAAGATAGTCAATGCTGAGCATGTATCCTGGACAATGTGCTTACCTCATTTAGTCCTCACAACAGCTTTTGGAAGCAGATGAGGAGACAGAGGTGACAAAAACAAAGAGGTGCGGCATATGCATACAGTGATAGTACAATAAGACATTGTAGCTGGCTCACATTCTACCGTAAATAATGTAAGTGCATTAAGAAATAGACATCCTCAGGACACCTGGGTGGCTTAGTCAGTTGAGCTGCTGCCTTCGGCTCAGATCATGATCCCAGGGTCCTTGGATGAGTCCCGCATCGGGCTCCTTCCTCAGCAGAGAGCCTGCCTCTTCCTCTGCCTGCTGCTCCCCCGCTTGTGCTCTCTTGCTGACAAATAAATAAAATCTTAAAAAAAAAAAAAAGAAATAGACATCCTCTCATGTAAAGTAATTAAAAAACAGGACTCAATGAGCCATATATAAGTTAAACCTAAGTTATAGTTTAGAGACAGCTATTTTAAAACACTTGCAAAGAAATCTGAGAGCAGAATCATGGATGCTTATGGGTTTTTTTTTTTTCCTGTTGCCTTAGACACTGCTAACTTGACAGCATTGTTTTTTTAGTAATTTATCTTCAGAGTCTTTCCAAAGCCCACAAAGTTTTAATGGGAGCATTAACTGTCTTTAATTAGACATTTTGTTAAAATATTTATCTAAGATAATTGTAGATTCTCATGTAGTTATGAGAAATAATACAGGTGGATCCTGTGTACCTTTTAATTTCCTTCAGTGACAACATTTTGTAAAACAAGATACATATTACAACCAGGATGTTGAGATTGGTACAGTCAAGATAGAGAACATATCCATCACCAGAAGGATCCCTCATGTTGCCCTTTTATAGTATAGTAATGCCCATTTTCTTCTTGTCCCCATCCCCATTTAAGCCCTCACAACCACTGATCTGTTCTTTCTGTGACTTGTTATTTTAAGAATGTTATTTATTTTTTTTTTAAAGTAGACTCCATGCCCAGCATATGAGCCCACAGCAGGGCTTGAACTCACAACCCTGAAATAAAGACTCAGATCAAGATCTGAGCTGAGATCAAGTCAGACACTTGACTGAGCCACAGTGGCACCCCATTTAAGAATGTTATATTAGTAAAACTTATATAAATGGAATCAGGTATTATGTCAGCTTTTGGGACTGGCTTTTTTCACTTAGCTTAATTCTCTGAAGATTTATCCTGGTTGTTGAATATTTCACTCCTTTTTATTACTCAGTAGTATTCCATGGTATAGACGTGCCAGTTTGCTTAACCACTGTTTTCCAGAGAGGTGGTATTTTAAACCTCACCAAAATATATGAGTGATCCAGTTTCTCTTGTGTCACATTTTTTTTTTTTTGTCTTTTCTCTTTATGTTATTGAATTAACTGTATCAGGCCTCCCCCTACTACAAACCATCCTCAATGTTATCACAGCTCAGTTTTAGATATGTGCTTTAAAGGATTTGGTTTAGAAACATTTAGAAACAAACATTGAAGGCATTTGGATACATCCAGTTCAGGGAAAGAGATCTTGGTTAGAAGCAGTTTTGTGAGTTGTCCCTGTTGAGTTGATGGTTAAAGTTATATAAGTGGATGAAATGACAAAAGCAGGGGCCCCTGCATGGCTCAGTGGGTTAAAGCTCTGCCTTTGGCTCAGGTCATGATCTCAGGGTCCTGGGATTGAGCCCCATATCGGGCTCTCTGCTCAGCGGGGAGCCTGCTTCCTCCTCTCTGCCTGCTTCTCTGCCTACTTCTGATCTCTGTCTGTCATATAAATGAACAAAAAATCTTAAAAAAAAAGACTCTAAGAAATGACAGAAGCAGAATGGGTTTAAGAAAAAGAGAAGAGGGCTGAAGACAGAGTCTTGAGAAGCACCGGTGTTTAAGACTTGGGTGATCAAGTGAACAATCAAAATATTATGAATATAGGGCGACTGGGTGGCTCAGTCAAAGCATCTGCCTTTGCTCAGGTCATGATCCCAGGGTCCTTCGATGAGCCCTGCATCAGGCTCCCTGCTCAGCAGGGAGTCAGCTTCTCCCTCTCCCTCTGTGGGTGTGCTCTCTCTCTCAAATAAATAAATCTTTAAAAAATATTACAAATATATTCTTTAAAACAAGGAAACATTAAAAAAAAAAGAAAAGGAGAAGAGCATATAATAGTGTCAGGTACCAGACAGAAATTTTCAGGTGAGAACTGAAGATGTCTCTTGCATTTGGTATCTATAGGATCAGTGTTGGCTTTTGCTTGGCAGTTTCAGTGGGGGAAATGAGGGCAGAACCCTGGGGATAACTGACTGAAGCACAAGTAGAACTAAAGAAGTAGAGACAAGGAATGAAGACCATTCTTTGGAATAAAAAGTGAAAAAGAATGAACAATAATTAGCATTATTGGAGAAAGATTTTCTTTTAACTGGGGGAAATGTTTTTAGGCTGAGGTTGAATTGGTGGAGAGAAAGGGATTGAAAATAGAAAAAGTTTTACAAAATTGTTGGCTGTGAGCATATAATTACTCAAATTTTATTTTTAAATTGTTTTTTAATAGAGTTTATTTGAGAGAGAGAGCATGAGCAGGGGAGTGGCAGAGGGTGAGGAAGAGCAAGAAGCAGACTCCTTACTGAACCCCTTTCCACGGGAGGGGCTCAATCCCACCATCCAGGGATCATGACCTGAGCCGAAGGCAGACGCTTAACCAATTTAGCCACCCAGGTGCCCCTCAAAATTATTTTAATGAAAAGTATATAGAAAAGTGAGATTTATTTATTTATTTATAAAAGATTTTATTTATTTATTTGACAGAGATCACAAGTAGGCAGAGAGGCGGGGGCGGGGCACGGGGGGCGGGGGAAAGCAGGCTCCCTGCGGTGCAGAGAGCCCAATATGGGCTTTGATCCCAGGACCCTGAGATCATGACCTGAGCCGAAGGCAGAGGCTTAACCCACCGAGCCACCCAGTCACCCGAAAAGTGAGATTTATTGAGCAAGGTGCCAGAAGAGATGGAGAGAATTAGGTTCAGATTGGGGATAAGGAGGTGAATAGGGGTAAGCAGAGATTAATTTGTGTTTTGAGTGAGTTGAGCCTGATGGCTTTGCTCATTTTTGCAGGGCTCCATGAGACAGGTAGGAGTTTGAGAAGAGTCTTAAGGTTGGGAACCGTTGTTGGGAAATGGAAGATGGTTCTGATCAATGAAGGAATAGGATTGTTGAGTCTAAGAAAAGAGTACACATGGTGGCACCTGGGTGGCTCAGAGAGCTGGGCATCTGCCTTCGGCATGGGTTGTGGTCCTGGGTTCCTGGGATCAAGTCGCACATTGGGCTCCTTGCTAAGTGGGGAGTCTGCTTCTCCCTCTGCCTACTTCTCCCCTGCTGTCATGGCTCTCTGACAAAAGAGAAAAGAAAAAAGAACACACAGTTGTAGAAGTATTAATTTGCATAGTGGGTCAAGGGTGGACCTAAGTTGAATTGGGAGTTTCAAAGCAGAGAAGGATGTGTAGTCAGGAATGGGTAGACTAAGGATAACTAAAAAAGTAATGGAGTTGGAAAACAGGTGAAGAATTACTGGGGGAGAGAGAGATGGAAGAATAGGTCCTAATTTGAAAAGAGGACACGAGTTAAGATTTCAGAGGTCAAGGAGCTTTAGATTATCATTAGTTCCAAGAAAGTGGGTTAATGAAACAGTGTGGAGATGAAAGCACTACATTTCCCATGACCCTGGAGTACTAAGCTAAGGAGTTTGAATATTATCTTAAAATTGATGGGAAATCACCAGGGAAGGGACATGACAGTATTAACCTTTAAGAAACATTACTCTAATGGCAATGTGGAGAATGGACTAACGAAGGGGAAAACTGGAAGCAGTAAGAGACATTGCCAACCACTAGGCCATTGAATTTTTTGGGCCAGATAATGCCACAGTGGGTGATAATTGTATAATTCTTCTTGCCTTTCACTACTCTTCTGAGAAGATACAGACATCTTTCAGAAACTCTCAGGCGCAATAGTTTCTCTGATCTCTTTATTTTCACAATTACTCTGTAAATACTTTTACATTTGTATCTTTTGTCAGATTTTACGTTCCTTCATAATAACCTGCATGTCAGTAATCTTGTTATAATGTGGAACCTAAATATCGCAGTACTCTGCCCAAAAACATGTTTAACAGATGTTCAGCGAATGAATGAATGAATGAATGGATGAAGATGGCTCCCACAGACCAAGGAAACCCTGTCCTCCTATGAGCTAGATGATCTTAAGGTCCCAACAAGTCTGCCCTGCAACAGGTTCAGTTGTGATGCCCAAACAGTTTCGTACTAACAAAAAGTGCCATTGCCCGTAAAGAGATCTCGAGCCCGGTTGTTTCCTCATCTGGGAAGCAGGTGAGGCTGTTTTCCGTAAGGCAGCATGGCGGACGCTTGCCGGAGCTAGTGAGCGCGGTTTCCCTCCCGGGAAGAAGCCATTACTGTTTCCGTACAGCAGCATGGGGGGCCGCCTGCGGGAGCTGCCATAGCATCACGCCCGGAGGGAAGAGGCCGCCGTAAAGGAAGCGCCGCTTCCTCTTCTCACTTCTCCCGCCTCCCACCGGTTGTCGTAAAAGGGTGAATGGAGAGCGAGTTGTGGGGGGTAGAAAGGGAGGACAGGGGGCGCGGAGTCAGAGTGGCGCAGCAAGTGGCTGCAGGTGGCGACGGTGGCGGGGGGTGGGGAGTGAGGTAGTCTAGGGGTCGCGGAGGAGGAGGCTGAGAGGATCAAAAGAAAAACTAAAGCTGCAGTCTGGCCTACTGGTCCGGGGGCCGCGGAGCCCCCACCCGGGGAGATGGACCTCAACCGGATCATCCAGGCGCTGAAGGGCACCATCGACCCGAAGCTGCGGATTGCAGCTGAGAATGAGCTCAATCAGGTGAGGAGCGGGCCTGCGGCGCCCCCCCTGGCGCCCCCCGCGGGCTCACCGTGCTCTCCCTCCTCGGCGCCCCCGATCTCCACCCCAACCCGGGCTTCGGACCCCGACGCTCGTCCCGGCCCGCCCCCCACCCCCAGCCCCGGGGGCCAATTTGGCGGCACTCCCCGGATCTTTCCTGAACAACTCGCGCACCTGTTGGCCACCTTTGCATCTTTTCCTGTCGTTTTCCTTCCACGGTGCAGTTTGTTCAGTCCACTGGATCGCTGAAAGAGGCTTTGGAAAGCTTTGCCAGTGTTCGCAGGATGTGTGATTTCCCGAAGTACGCTGATTTAGGGAAGGGGGTGGGAAATTTCACTTAAAATTCGGATCTGAGTTCAGCTTTTCTCCAGACCCAGCCTTTTTTAGGTGTTGCGGTGGTAAGCCCTCCCATCGCCTGCTTCTGTGGGGTTGGTAGGACTGTTTTGACACTGATTGGCAGAGTTTTGTTGGAGCTCTGGGAAAGGCTGCCGGGAGAGTACAGGGGAGAGGACAGGCAGTTTTCATCGTGGTATATTGTACAAAAGACACGTCGAGTAATGTGCGTTTGGAGGCATTTCTTATAAGCGCTAAAATGTCCAAGACTTTCTTTTATCTTCCATCCTCTGTTCTTACTGGCCCTAACCTTGTTCCAGCGTTACCACCGACATTTCGAAATTGTAGTGATCCCAAAATTTAGCTCATGTTTTCCTCCTCACCTGTAAGAATGAATGATAGACTTCTCACTAAAAAGTACGAATTAAGGTCTACTCCCTAGGGTAGAGTGACAACTGGTTGAGGTTGGGGTAATCCTTAAAATGTAAAGGAATATACCTAAATTAGTGGTTTTCAAGGTGCTGCCCAGGATGAGCAAAATCCACATCACCTGGGAACTTGCTGGAATTGGAAATTACTGGGCTTCACATTTAGAGAATCAGAAACTCTGGGGGTGGGTCCCAATTATGTTTTAATTAGCAAGTTAGGTGATTCTGTGCTTCCTGAAGTGTGAGAGCAGCTGTCTTAAGTAAAAGTTTCTGTGGGAGTTCACTAAGGTTTTCCTGGTTGGAGTTGACTTTAAAGTGCAACTGTGCATTTAAATCTTTGAAATCCAGTGGGAAATCTGGACAGCGTTTGGAGTAAGTGTGAATTCAGGATTCCAAGAGATAAAAGGGAGAGTGAAAGCAGTGGAGGGAAGGTGGAGTTAAACAGAAGCCTAAAGAGCATGTGTTGTTACCTCGAAAAGAAAAGGACTCTCACTCAGAATAGGGGAACGTTAAAGTCAGTACCTGTCTCAGGCTTTACGAAGCAGGGTACTATATGTTGATTGGCTAGAAGAATAGTAATCCAGGGGTTGCTTAGAAGGAACAAAGCAAGAGCTGAACTTGGAATCTATTAGTATGTCCAGGGGCATTGGCCTGTTTGTGACCCCCTTCTCTTCACAGTGAGGCCAGATGTTATTTTGATAGTGTCAGTAGGGATTATATCTTTGCTATCATGTTGTACCTTCCTGCCTCTGTTCGCCTATCCTTGCTTTGTTTCTGATTCATCAATGTGTAAGTGATTCATCAATGTATAAGTGTCTGTCCCCAGACAGAAGGGGAAGGGTTGGTGGGAAAGCCTGCAGAGCTAGAAGAGACCCTTGGGACCCAAGTCTACATTTTTCTTCATGGGATTTCAGTTCAAACCCATTTCATCCTCACTCTGCCCTGCCCCATACCCACCCATTTCATCACAGACCATAATTTCCTCTGCAACTGCTCTAAGTAGCTTATTGCTATGCTGCTCTTTGGCATTACGTTTTGTATAATGCTTTGGATTGTAATACGCTCTTACTAAGTACTTTTTTTTTTTTAATTGTCTGTAAGTAGAAGACAAGTATAATGTCGCATAACCTTATAGTAAAATATGGCTATAATATTGGGTTTTGTGTGCTTATTCTTTATCACCACTATAATGTCCTGCTTTGTTGGACAAATGGGTGGGGAAACTATCATAAGTGATTAGGGTCCAGCTTGTTTATTTTAGTCTAGGTCCCCCCTCAGCAACTACGCTCTGCCTAGGAACTGGGGGCAGCTTCTGCAATGTACTGATGATCTGTCAATTGCCTTGTAGAAGAGTAGGCAGTTTCAAAACATAACGGCCTCTGTTCTGAGGGATAGATTCTTGTTTGGAGTTAGAGTTTTCTGTAGTCAACATATTTCTGTTATTAGTTATAGGTTCCTTGATTGCTGTGTGTGATATTGTTTCTGTGGGAAAATGCATTTTCATTTTTTCTTTTTCTTTTTTTAAAAATGATTTATTTATTTGAGAGAGGAGAGCTTGTGAGCCTGGGGAGGAACAGAGGGAGAGAGAGAGAAACTTAAGCAGACTGTACTGAGCATGGAGCCTGAAACGGGGCTCAGTGTCATGGCCCTGAGATCATGACCTGAGCCAAAACCAAGAGTTGGATGCTTAACCAATGGAGCCACTCAGGGGTCCCCAGAAAACACCTTTTCAGTTTTATCTCAGGATATTAAGAATGCATCCTTTGTGCATTCCTCCCAGTCTTTAGGCCCAGAAGTCCCCTTAGCAGCTGCAAAGGGAAGTAGGAATGGGTAGATATCTTGCTCCAGTAACTCATCCACAAAGGTATCTTCTTTTAATAAAACATTCTCCACATGGCCTCAGTAGCGAAATAAAAATAATTACTTTCTTTGCTGAGCTTTGGAATCCCTGCTTTTCTGTGCATCTGTCTGTATCATTTTTATTGCCCTTTAAGAGTGTTTGCTTATATGAATAACATTTATTTGTTTATTTATTTTTAAAGATTTCATTTATTTATTTATTTGACACAGAGAGGCAGGGAGAGAAGGAACATAAGGGGGGGGGGCGAGATTGAGAGGGAGAAGCAGGCTTCCTGCTGAGCAGGGAGGCTGATGTGCGGCTCGAACCCAGGACCCTGGGATCCTGACCTGAGCCACTCCTGACAGAGCTTGCATTCTGGTGGGGGATAGAGATAAGTAAGTAGTATTAGGTCATAAGTGCTATAGTGCTATAGATAGTAAAGTCCTGGAGAGACAGTGTTGGAATGTATAAATAATGTGGTCATTCTCTGAAGAGTGACACTGAGCCAAGACCTAGATGTTGTGAAGGAGTGAAGCAGGTGAAGAACTGGGAGACAAACAGAGGGAGGAGCAAGTCCAATAAAGGCCTTCAGCTTGGCATGTTGGAGCCCTTGAAAAGGTAATGTAGTGGGAGCCATGAGGCAGAGAACTGGAGGCAGCAGTCTTTGCTTTACAATGAGTTCTCGTCAGATGCAGAATTATGCTAAGTAAATACACTATTTTCAGAAAACTTCACAGATACAAAGTAAATATCGAGAAATGCCTTTCATTTTTTTCCTTAGAAACCTGAACCCCGAGGTGGAAAAAGAAATTGGATAAATATTTGTGAGGAAAAATTGTATGAGACTTTATCTGAATTTACCTTTGGATGTTTTAGCTGGCCAAATTAACATAGTTTGAATCAAGGTTGAAAGGAGAAGACAAAAAGTTGCACAAGGTCATTAAAATGGCAGGCAGTTGCAAAAAATGGAGTTCCAAAATGTGTACAAAGGCAACAGTGTTGAAGTGAAAGCAGTCTCCACAATAACTACTCTAAAATAGATACTATTAGTCTAAGTGTACAGGTTATTTTGTACTTATGTGTAATAAGTATCTACACTGGAGAGATTAGAACTAAGCTATGGATGTTTTAGTCTTGGATTCACCATGGGATCTTTCTGTAACTGAAATGTTACAAACATGAGTTATTTTATAATAATGTACATGTAGAAGGTTAGAAGATTGGGCTAAATCTGTGTTAATTTTGACTTCTGTAAACTGCTGTTAGGAGAAATCTGTTTTCTTAAAAATTACTTTAAAATGGTGGTTTCAATTATGAATGAAAAAGAACTTTATGTACAACAGATTTAAGATTCTGAGGTTTAGATAGGATGAAAGGAAGAACAATTATAAGATAATTAAGAATTTTTAAAAAAAGTTTTATTTATGTATTTGACAGGGAGAGAGACAATGAGAGAAGAAACATAAACGGGGAGAGGGAGAAGCAGGCTTCCTGCCAATCAGGGAGCCCGATGTGGGTCTCAATCCCAGGACCCCGGGACTATGACCCAAGCTGAAGGCAGATGCTCAACGACTGAGCCACCCAGGCACCTGGATAATTCAAAATTTTATAGAAAGAATTGGAAAGCAAAATGTCCTTGGATGGAAAAAATCGATATTAAAATCTCGATACGAATTTTCCCCAAATTTTTTAGTCCTTTATCTTATTAATGCTGTTATGAATAAATGAGTAGGAAAGATGGTTAAATTAAAAAGTTGAGTGGTGGGCGCCTGGGTGACTCAGCTGGTTAAGTGACTGCCTTCAGCTCAGGTCATGATCCCAGAGTCCGGGGATCAAGTCCCACGTCGGGCTCCCAACTCTATGGGGAGTCTGCTTCTCCCTCTGATCTTCTCCTCTCTCATGCTCTCTCTCGTTCTCTCTCTCAAATAAATAAAGAAAATCTTAAAAAAAAAAATTGAGTGATATACATAAACCTAGTGGTATGTTGAAAAAGATACCACTATAGGTCCAGGCTCCTGGGAGAAGGGAAGCTGAACAGATTCTCTTCATCACTGTTGGCTTTAGCCTTACTGAGAATTTATGAGTCTTTTCTGGGAACGTCCGCGGGCAAGGCCAAGTGTAAGCTCTGGGAATGTGGCAGAAAGGTAACCTGGTCCAGGTACTTGACATTTGGAGGGAGTATTATCAAAAGGAACTGGCTGCTCTGTATCTTTTTTAATTTTTTTTTTTTTTTTTACTTCTACAGTCAGCCTGTCAAAACTCAGGGGTAGGTCAAAGTAGAACCGGTTGGGGGAGGCAGGGAACTGACCCAGGCAGCACACACGTCAGCACAGACTTAACTTGGGTGTCAGGTTTAAAAGATGCTTCTCCAGGTGCCTGGGTGGCTCAGTTGGTTAAGCGTCTGCCTTCGGCTCAGGTCATGATCCCAGGGTTCCAGGATTGAGCCCCGGGTTGGGCTTCTTGCTTATGGGGAGCCTGCTTCTTCTTCTGCCTGCCGCTCCCACTGCTTGTGTTCTCTCTCTCTGACAAATAGATAAATAACATCTTAAAAATAAAATAAAATAAAATAAAGGATGCTCCACCAACAGGGCAGCTGGTGGTGACAACTTTCAACACTGCCTTATGAGGCACGTCGTTCCAGCCAGGGCTGGTTCTTCATGGCTCATGCACACATAATTAACATTATCTTGTCTGTCTTCCTAGGCCGGATCCAGGTTTTCTGTGTTTCTGTTTGACAAAAATACTATCAGCAAAATTAAAGCACAAATAAGCTGGGAAGAAACACTTGCAATGTGGAGGTCCAATAAAAGTTAGGATTTTAAATGTATAAATAGCTCTTAGGATTACTAAGAATGAAACAAATACTCTTCAAAAAAGGATAAAGGGAATAATTTGTAGAAGAAAACAGCCAACAGAAAGGATGAATTTTAACGTAGCAGAAATGTAATTTAAAATATGAGTCAATTTTGAAGGAATGATAATGCTAAACATTGTGTTGGATAGATGGGTATATACTACTTTTGGGAGTGGAGATTGCTACACACTTTCTGGAGAGCATTTTAACAATATATGTTAAAAACCAAAAATATTCATACCCCTTTATTCATCAATTTATTCCAATTTTGATTAGAAGTATTTCAGTAATCTTATTTTTGCCTTGAAAAATTTCTCTCACTTTAAAAGTTTTCCTTTTATTTGGACAGTAATTTTGTATTCAGTAACAGTGCTAACAGTTATTCATTTATATTGGCCTATTTTATAAATATTTCTTTGTAATTTCAGTCCTACAAGATTATCAATTTTGCCCCCAGTTTACTTCGGATTATAGTCTCTGACCATGTGGAATTCCCAGTACGTCAGGCAGGTGAGTAGTTTTTTCATCCTTTATAAAATTACTTATATCTGTGATTTCTTTAAAAAATAGGAAGCACACTAAAGTAATTCTAATGGCTTAAAAACTCTTTTTCCCTGGAAATTTAGAGGTAGATACTGAGTTTTTACATCTTCCCTAGTTTTTCCTCTCCTCCTCTCCTTTTCACCTACTGATTCCTTGCTTCTGTAATTTTGCCATTTTCCCCCTTAGTTTTCACAATTTCAGTGGCTTAATCTCCCTAATTCTTTATGATTCCTGGTGGACGACCCTTTGGGTCCATAGATGAAGACCGTGAATTTATGTATGTGGATTTGAGCTCCATTCATAAGTCAGATCATGGATGTAATATATGTGCACAGGTGTTCCTAAACACGTGTTTGGGGAACAGGACTTTCTTTTTTCTTTTTTCTTTTTATTTAAAGATTTTTATTTATTTATTTGACAGAGATAGCAGCAGCAGAGGGAGAGGCAGAGAGAGGGAGAGAAGCAGACTCCCCACTGAGCAGGGAGCCTGATGTGGGGCTGGATTCCAGGACCCTGAGATCATGACGTGAGCCGAAGGCAGAGGCTTAACTGCCTAGCCATCCAGGCGCCCCAGGACTTTTGTTTTAAACATGAGACTTACTTTCAAGTGCTGTGGGACCTTATGGTAGTTCCATGGTGTTGTGCCTTCCTCTTTTTGCCTTTTTAATGAGCTGGTCATTACAGGCCAGAATGTAAAAAATGGAGAACGTCTTGGAGTGTCATGAGTCCTGAAAAGATAGTAATATCAAGATAAAGGGAATAAAATGATAAATGCTAATTTAAAAAGTAGATATTTAAAAACTCTTTTTTTAAAGCTAGGCCACTTGATATATATTCTTTTTTGTTTGTTTGTTTGTTTGTTTTTTTGTTTTTAAGATTTTAATCATCTATTTGACGGAGAGAGAGACAGCGAGAGAGGGAACAAAATGAGGGGGAGCTGGAGAGGGAGAAGCAGGCTTCCTGCCGAGCAGGGAGCCTGATGCAGGGCTGGATCTCAGGACTCCTGGATCATGACCTGAGCCGAAGGCAGATGCCTAACGACTGAGCTGCCCAGGGCACCCCAGTATATATTCATTATGAATAATTTGGGCAACACAGAAAAATACGAAGATGAAAGTAAAAAAATTTACTCAATATTCATTGCTCAGAAATGGCCATCATTAACATTAGGCAAACATTAGTCTTTGCAGGTTCAGGTAGGGAGAGATCAACAATTTTATACAGGTAAGATTATACTCTACACGCTGATAAAAGTATTTAATTTTCCTTGAGCATAACAAAAAAAGAGGTAAGGAATCATTAGCTTTGGGGAAATACTTGTAGCAATATGTATGATTTCCTAAAAGATCCCTTTGTTATTAAGAAAACAGTGTGGAGATTCCTCAAGAAATTAAAAATAGAGCTTCCCTATGACCCTGCAATTGCACTACTGGGTATTTACCCCAAAGATACAGATGTAGTGGAAAGAAGGGCCATCTGTACCCCAATGTTTATAGCAGCAATGGCCACGGTCGCCAAACTGTGGAAAGAACCAAGATGCCCTTCAACGGACGAATGGATAAGGAAGATGTGGTCCATAAACACTATGGAGTATTATGCCTCCATCAGAAAGGATGAATACTTAACTTTTGTAGCAACATGGACGGAACTGGAAGAGATTATGCTGAGTGAAATAACTCAAGCAGAGAGAGTCAATTATCATATGGTTTCACTTATTTGTGGAGCATAACAAATAACATGGAGGACAAGGGGAGATGGAGAGGAGAAGGGAGTTGAGGGAAATTGGAAGGGGAGGTGAACCATGAGAGACTATGGACTCTGAAAAACAATCTGAGGGTTTTGAAGGGGCGCGGGGTGGGAGGTTGGGGGAACCAGGTGGTGGGTATTAGAGAGGGCACGGATTGCATGGAGCTCTGGGTGTGGTGCAAAAACAATGAGTACTGTTACGCTGAAAAGAAATACAAAATTAAAAAAAAAAAGAGAAAAAGAAAAGCTTATGGAGAGACTCTTAATCTCACAAAACAAACTGAGGGTTGCTTGGGGGAGGGGGTTGGGAGTGGGTGGTGGGGTTATGGACATTGGGGAGGGTATGTGCTATGGTGAGTGCTGTGAAGTATGTAAACCTGGCGATTCATAGACCTGTACCCCTGGGGCTAATAATACATTATATGTTTATAAAAAAATTAAAAAAAAAAAAAGAAAAGCTTATGGAAAAACCTACATGTTGTAATTATTTGTAACTTTAACAAGGTGTATAAGACTTATGTGTAGATTTTTTGAAATTGTAACTCTGTTGTTTAATCTTTGTTTTATGAAATAAGGCTGTTCTGAAATCACATTTTGCTAAATGGAAACTGTTTTAATAATCTAAGTGTTTATAGGGCCATCGCATAGTATTTTTAAAGATTTTAACAGTTTATTGATTTAATATGTCTTCTTTACATGACATATAAACACTACAAAAATTCATTGGATTGCCCCAATTACACCCCCAGAGATACCTGCCATCAACTTTGGTGCAAGGTTCTCCAATTCCTTTTTTCCCTGTAGATTTGATAGTTTTAAAATGTAACAAAAATATGTCTTTATTCCACATGGTGTTTTATAACTTTTTTTTCCCTATTGAACCATATACCCTTGGGGGGTCGTTCCATACTGGTGTATATGCATATAAATGTGCTTTATTCTTTGTAACAATTGTTTATTATTTCTTTGTACAGAACTCCTTTAGTTTATTTAAACAATTTGATATTGAAGGATATTTCCTTTATTGTCCCTTTTTGTTGTTATTGTTGATAGAGGCAAAGCTATAATCAGAATCCTTGGACATTTATCTCTGGATACTTGTGGAAATATTTTCAAAGAATAATAAGAAATGGAGATGCTGGGTGGATATTAATGATATTAAAATTTTCAATTTTGAATCTTCTCACCAAGTTGCTTTTGCTTATTTTTTGTGTCATAACTGCAATAATGCTAGGTTCCTCATATCCTCTGTACAACTTTGAATCTTAATAATGTATATAACAGTTTTTTTTTAAGATTTTATTTATTTGACAGAGAGATCACAAGTAGGCAGACAGGCAGGCAGAGAGAGTGGGGGGAAGCAGGCTCCCCACTAAGCAGAGAGTCCAATGTGGGGCTCAATCCCAGGACCCTGGGATCATGACCTGAGCTGAAGGCAGAGGCTTAACCCACTGAGCCACCCAGGTGCCCCTATAACTGAGTTTTGATATGAAATGTAAATAGCATTTATAGGCAATTTTTCTTCATAATTTATGTAGATTTCAAATCTGTTAGTCACAAGACAGAGTTTAGCTTGGTGGTTAATTTTTTATTAGGACAGTTTTCTCTATTAGAGCATCTATTTTATCATTGAATGTAAAATATACAGTGTAAAATTCTACATTATATCTCCCCTAAACTTAAAAATTTTCTGTCCTATTTAATCTATTATTAAAATACAGAGATACCCCAAGAACCTTATGGTGACACCCAGACAGGTAATTTATCATTTTATCATGACATTTAAAAAAGAATGATGTGATTTTTGCTTTAAAAAGAAGTCAGCCTGCATAAAACTATCAAAAATATGCTAATATTAAATGGAAAGACATAGTTCTGCAGAATAGTCAGTTCTTGATTTTTTGGCTTGTGGGCAATCCTATAATATTCTTGTTACCATCAATCAAGCTCATTAGTGAATGTCCCTTATTACTTTACTGTGGAGAAATAGGGAAAAAATGTAATATTTTGATATTGATAAGCAAAACAAAATAAATCTGAATGTTCTGTTATTTTCTAGTATTAAGAGGCATAATAGCATTCTTAATATTATTATCCAATGTACAGAGAAAGGAGCCCATCTTAAATTTAGTATAGTTATGATTAAGAATCTCTCAGGTGGCTTTGTTTTCAGTTTTTTACTCCTTGCTTGTGAGGAGACCCTCTACTATACCTAAACCTAGTTTTAGAAATGTGGTTTCTTTAGTAAATTTTGGAGTTGCTATGAGCAGAAAAGTCGTTTGGAATTGAAAGTGGTAGTTGAGGGGCACGTGGCTGGCCCGGTCACTAGAGTGTGTGACTCTTGATCTTGGGGTTATACATTTGAACCCCATGTTGGGTGTGGAGATTACTTAAAAATAAAATCTTTAAAAAAAAAGGTTAAATAAATGAAAGTGGTAGTTTAGGGTTGGATGTTACATTAGACCTGATGAAGTCATTGTTGGTGACTGGTGTGGGGACCCTCATTTGAAAAGTAGCATGGATCTGTTTTCTGTAAGTTGCTTGCTTTTTTGTTCTTCTGACTTTTTGTATATATTTTTAAAAGATGGATGGGGCCGCGTGGGTGGCTCAATGGGTTAAGCCTCTGCCTTCGGCTCAGGTCATGATCTCAGGGTCCTGGGATCGAGACCCACATCGGGCTCTCTGCTCAGCAGGGAGCCTGCTTCCTCATCTCTTTCTCTCTGCCTCTTTGTGATCTCTGTCAAATAAATGAATAACATCTTTAAAAAAAAAAACACGGATGGGGGTGCCTGGGTGGCTCAGTGGGTTAAAGCCTCTGCCTTTGGCTCGGGTCATGATCCCGGGGTCCTGGGATTGAGCCCCATATCGGGCTTTCTGCTCAGCAGGGAGCCTGCTTCCCCCCCCCCGCCCCGCCTGCCTCTCTGCCTACTTGTGATCTCTGTCAAATAAATAAATAAAATCTTAAAAAAAAAAAAGATGGATAGGGAGAGATATAAAAATTCAGCCTATAGCTAAGTTATTCACAAGTTATTCTTTAAGGTTAACCTTAGTGTTCTAGAATACAGAACCTAGAAAAAATTGGGAAGATGCCTCTGATCAGTCCAGAAGCATGACAAGAAACTCTTTCATTAAAACCCATGTGTCTTGTATGTAGGAAGCTCTTAGCTCTTACTCAGAATCTATTTAATCTTGTTTTGGTTATAATTTACATACACTATTCAATTTCCTAGCCTGTAACAGATTAACGAATAAGAGAGAAAGGGACTACCAAATTACAATGAAAAATGGAAAAAACCTAGAAACGTTCACTCAAAAAGCCCAGCGTTGTGCTTCAGTGAGTTCATACTGGCATCCTTTCCCCTTTGAGGTTGTGGGACCAATTGACCTGTGTAGTTGTGAGTCTGGATTCCTGAGCATAGGGCTTAAGTGATGATCTGTTGTGCTTGAGAGGGAGAGAACTGTGTGTACGCATTAGAAAGTTAATTTTAGACTTAAGATGCTTGGAATGGTGGATTTCACAGAAAAACAAAGTTTAATAATTTCCATATGACTGGATTAAGATGATATTTGTGTTTTGTTAGCTCTGGCAAATGGTTAGATAGATAACTTCAATTAAATGATGAAAGGAAGGTTTTTAGATTATTGATAGTTTGAATTATCTTTGGTACCTTTTCTTAATTATTCTTAGCAATCCATGATTATCTGTATGAGAAATTAATACTCTCTTATTAACTTGTAACAGGTTCAATTTTACTTTAACGGATTGAGGATTTAATTTTTTAAAAAGATTTTATTTTTTTATTAGAGAGAGTGCATGTGTGTGTGAGTGCAGAATAGGAAGGGAGAGGGACAAGCAGACTCCTCACTGAGTGCAGAGCCCGATGAGGGGCTCGGTCTCCGGACCCTGAGATCATGACCTGAGCTGAAATCAAGAGTCAGATGCTTAACTGACTGAGCCACCCAGGTGCCTCTAATTGAGGATTTATTATTTTTTTTGTTTGTTTTGTTTTTAAGAACTTTAAAAAATATATTTATTTGAGAGAGAGGGAGAGAGAGGAAGAGTGTGCACAAGTGGGGGTTGGGCAGACAGAGAGGCAGAAGCAGGCTCCCTGCTGAACTCCTTGAAGGTTAATGTCTTTTTCCCTATTCTTCTATTTACAAGTGGTAAATATTTCAGAAGGGTAAGACAGAAATTAGCAATATTTTGGTGCAGGATAGTGGCCAGTGAGAAAAGATAAACAAGATAAAGATAAACAAGAAAAGCAGGGTACATGAAGGACGGTGGAATTTCACCTGTTGTGGACTCAGCTTTCGGCATTAGGAGCAGTATTATCTTTATGCCATCAAAATACAGTTAGTAGAGTTTCATTTAGACTACCTTATATTTAGTCTAAGGATATATACTTGATTCCTAGATCATGTTTCTGTCCTCTAGACTCTGAAGCTTGATTTAATGAAAGGTTTTCTGCTTAGATTTGGTTTACTAGGTAAAGATAAAGTTTAAATTCTTCTACATTTTCCCTTCGCCAGTTGGCTATTTATAATTTTAAGATATTTCCATTTTTGCTGAGTGTCATGTTTAGCGGTGAAGATATAACATGAAGGACTTAGCCTTTCATGCTCTGTAAAGCTATGTTAAAGCCATCTTTTCAGTATTGCTATGTTAGCATTTTATTCTCCACCTTAGCTGCCATTTACTTGAAGAACATGGTGACACAGTACTGGCCTGACCGAGAACCTCCACCGGGAGAAGTAGTATTTCCATTCAACATTCACGAAAATGATCGCCAGCAAATACGTGATAACATTGTGGAAGGAATAATTCGGTCTCCGGATTTAGTGAGGTACATTATACTCTATATGATTAGTAGGGAGCACGAAATGTTTGGATGGGAGAGGTTGGATTTAATCATCAGCCTCAAGTTTGTATATCTGAAGAGGTAAAGTAATGAAGGTGGACACTCAAAAAATATTGTTTGACTTATTTGTCTTTGAGTTTGTAATTCTTTGCCTCAGAGTATTTTGGAAAAGATTTAGTTGCCGTAAGTTGCCCAAAAAAGAGTTAAGGCAAAAATCAAACTTAACTAAAATTGTATAAATCCCTGCTGTTTAAATAACCTATGTTCTTAGTTATGATCTCTTTACTTTTTACCAGCTGTTTCCCCCACCTCCCCATAATACAGGGAAATTGAGGCCTGGGAGTTTTAACCACTTTTCTTCCTACTTTACCTATGTTTTCATTCATTTTTTTAAATGAACTGAGTATCTTTTTCTTTAGAGAAGACAGGATAGAGTATGTATAGGCTAGAAGACTGGCTCCAGTTTTTAAAATTCAGGTTAGATGCTATAAGCAGCACTGGTCAGTAGGCCTTTATGTGATGATGGAGCTCTCCTGTACCCACCCTGTCCAGTACTTAGCCACATGACGTCGGTGGCTGTTGAGTGCCTGCAATGTGGCTGCTGCAGCCGAGGACCCGGATGTTGGTAGGAGTGTGCACATAATGCTAGCGGCTTCCCCTCTCGCACCGCAGAGCTGCAGACTCACAGTTCGCACTTTCAAAATAGGAAACAGATTCTTTTCCACGTGAGTTCGTAGTTAGATTTCTGTTGAAAACGGAGGAGGGAAAGAGGTGAAACTGAGGTAGGGGAGCGAAATTGTTTAACATTAATAGATGAGCTATAACTTTAGCCCTGAGTGTCTCATGTACATTATGTCATAAGCAGCAGGAATAGTGAAGGAAGTGTGAGGGGAATAGTGGGGAAGGAGAACAAACATTGAACAACTCTTCTTGCAGTTCCTTTGTTAGTTAAGAGGAGAAAGGATGGGTACTGATTAAAGAAAATCCCCAGTATTCTCAGCGGGTGCCCACATCCAGCCAAGCAGGGGCTCCCCTCTGGCGCCGTCGTGTGTCTGTGTCTCGTCAAAGTCTTTACACTTTCAGTTCTCTCTGAGTCTTGTGATGCTTCTGCACAATAACATAGGAAGGGACGGCTGCTCATAGCCATCCCTCCTTGCTTGCTGGGAAAATGAAGGCGTTGGGAGGTCTCCTAAAGATGAAATTTGAAAAAATGAGAAGTTTTAGTTTTATTGCACACAGATGTGATGTATTTATTGTTTAGGAACGACTGCTGGTGGCACAAGAGAAGAATTTTATCTTTATCGTGAGACAGTTGCTTCTTGTGTGTCCTGAAGACTTAATTGTAATCACTCTTAAAGAACTATTCTCAGAGTTCATTTAAGAGTATGGCACAGAAAAATTTTCAAATGGATTTGATAACATAAAAGGAATTATTTTGTGTGTTTCATTTCAGTGAATGCAAATTATTAGCCAGTGGAACACACATTTTTTTGGGGGAGGAGGCATTATGGAATCCTAATTTAGCCAGGTTCACTTTCTAATCATTTGCAAATGACCATATAAGGACATATTGATAGTCTGTGGAGGAGAAATTTTTTTCTTCAATTTTGTTTTTTCCCTGATCCCAATTATAGTAGGGCTTCCATTGAGGAAATGGATATTGACATAAATGTTATGAGATCACGTTTTTTATTAACTTTGTTGTTTTATTAAAGAGAAGTTGGTTTTAGGTCTTTCTTATTGCTTTTTTCTTAATTTCTCTGCAAATAACTTAGCTTTCCTCTTCAGGAATTGCCAGCTAATACTTGCTTCTTATTCTAAAAGACAAAAATTACTGTCTTAGGAAGCTTTGACAGGAGCGACATACTGTGTTGGCTGTTTACTATAATGGATGGCTCAGGCTCACTGAGATGCTTCCCACTGTTATGTCAGCCTTTGTTTTACCTACTTTGACTATTTTTAGGCTGTTTTTCCAGTTGAAATGACAAAATACTTTGTTTTGTTCTGTTTCCCCCTTCGGATATGATAACTAAACTACAAAAGATGACAAAGTGGGAAATTTTGCAGAGCTGTGGTGGATTCATTCTTTCTTCCTTTTTTTTTTTTTTTGAGAATTTTTAAATGAATTTTTGTTTTTAAATTATTTTTTTTCTCCCCAAGGCTGTATTTAGGATAATCCCATTTGAAAGTTTTCATTCATTGTAAGAAATTACCCATTTTGTTTATTTTCAGTAAGTGGAGCTACTGAAGAGATTTTTCTTTATAGGACTGTTCTTTTTTCCCCTGCCCAAGATATGTAACTATATAATATAGGTAAATAGAGGTTAGAGTGCTTTTGTGTAAAATATTAGAGGTGTTTGAATCTGATATTTATAACTACTTAGATTGTGGACTTTTTTCCCCCCACCTTATAGAGTCCAGTTAACAATGTGTCTCCGTGCCATCATTAAATATGATTTCCCTGGTCACTGGCCAGCGGTAGTCGACAAGATAGACTATTACTTGCAATCACAGAGCAGTGGAAGCTGGCTTGGCAGTTTATTATGTCTGTATCAACTGGTGAAGACATATGAGTAAGTTGATTTCTACTGGCTGAAGATACCAGCCTTGTGTTACTTAGAAAGAATTAAATTGCATAGAGAGGTCTGCTATATGGGTGTTATGCAAAATCAGGTTGGTTTGGGAAATGGTGGGTTAAGCACAAACATGTTTATTTACTATAGTTATTCAGAGAACCTTAAATCTGCTAAAGTACATTGCTAATCTCTAAGGCAGAGATAAGATATGCAGTGTTTCTTGAATTTATTTGCCAGTTTCAGTGGCCCATTTATTAACAGTTTTCCTTGGAAACTCATATGGAGGTACCTTAATATTTAAGTTCTTCAAGTGAGCACATTAAGTAAACCAAACATTTAACTTTTTGGATGCAAGATAGAAAATGTTCAAGTTTCCTTGCTAGTGACGTTCTTTTCCATAGAAGTTGCTCAGGAGTTAGGAGACCAGTGAGCGTCATGTTTAATAGCATTGCTTTCTGGTTTCTGGGAGGGTTGTGCCTTATGCATGCAGAGTCCTGTAGTTTTCCTTTTAAAAAATTGGTTAGTTCTGACTCTGTAGAGTTTTTAGAAGATATTTGAGATTTGGAGCAATTGAAGTAATTTGAGAGCACCTAAGTTTGCAAACTGTTTTTAACATTTCAATTTAGTGTATTCTAAGAAGAAATTTTTTCCTGCATTATTTATTATGGGATAGGAATGTCTGTCAACTTACGTTTAATAGGAAGAATTGTGGTATGATGAAAATTACGTAGTAGAAAAAAATCACTTAGGAAATTTGCAAAATAGTCTAGAATTCTTTGAAATCAATTTAACCCCTTTTAGAAAGATTTTAGGTTTCTCTGCCTAAAAGAGGGATTTTATTCCAAGTTTATTCTTAAAATCCAAACAGAAAATGTAAGCCACTGTTTGTATATGTGCTGCCGAAGCGAGCACTGTAAGCCACTGTTTGGAATGTTTTTGTTTCATTAGCTGTATCTAGTTTAAGAAATTTAAAAAAAATTCATTATTTATAGCTCTTTTGTAGGGGGAGAAATTATTTTTTTTCTCTTTTTTGTCTTTGCTTATGTAGATATAAGAAAGCTGAGGAAAGAGAGCCTCTTATAGCAGCAATGCAAATATTTCTGCCTCGTATTCAGCAACAAATCATGCAGCTCCTTCCGGATTCCTCACATTATTCTGTTTTACTACAAAAGCAGATTCTGAAAATCTTTTACGCACTTGTTCAGGTAAGTTTTTGTTGCAGAAGATAAATATGGGGCCTTGTATTTCTGCCTGATCTATGGAAAGTGCTTAATAAGTGTAAGTTATTATTAAAAATTATTATCTATTCCATATGTATTTCTTTTAAAAAATCCTATGGAAGAACAGACTCACAGAAATTAACTTAATTGTCCAAATTTATCTTAGTGGCAGAGCTGAGATTCACTGACTGTGCCTTTTGCTCCAGTGTCTGAAGTGCTGGCTGAGGAAGAACCAGAGTAATTAACTGACTGAGATGACTTGACTCATCTGTCAGTAGCATCCTGCCTGCTGATAAGTTAGGATTAGAGGAGAAGGGGAAGGAAAAGAAGAGGGTCCTTTTTTTAGCGGGAAATCATACTGATGACAGTTTCTTTATAATTTGACCCAATGTAAGGCTAACAGTGAATGTTTAGTGCTCCACTTTCCTTCGTTTAAAATCCTTCCTTTTCTTACCTGAAAGCTATAAAGAAGATTAATATAAGAGTCTAAAAAATAAGAAGAGGACAGAAATGGAATGTTTTAAATATAAAAATATTTAAAATTTAATCCTTGAAAGATTTAGATAAATTATTTAGATCTGGGTGGAGGAGGAATCACTTGTCAGTCTGTAAAGTGTTTGATGACGAATGAGTCAAACCTCTATTACATGTTTTTTTACTAGATCAGTCATGCAAGAGGGTAGTGTTGTCAAGCTAGAGAGCCAGGACATTGGTTTTTGTTCATGTCACTCAAGTACCTTTGTAGTGTTTCAGAATATTTCACTTCCATAAAGAACGATACTTTTAGACTCCTCTTTTGAACTTTTAAAAAAATATTTATTTATTTTAGAGAGAGGGAAAGAGAGTGAGGGGAGCAGGGGGAGGAGCAAGAGGGGGAGGGAGAGAGAGGATCTCAAGTGGGCTCCGCATTCAGCATGGAGTCTGATGCAAGGCTTGATCTTACCACTCTGAGATCAAGACCTGATTTGAAAGCAGGAGTAGGACACTCGACTGACTGCACCACCCAGGCACCCTTCATCTTTTAAACTTTTTTTTTTTTTTTAAAGATTTTATTTATTTGAGAGAAAGAGAGACAGAGTGAGAGAGCATGAGAGGGGAGGTCAGAGGGAGAAGCAGATACCCCATGGAGCTGGGAGCCCGATGTGGGACTCGATCCCAGAACTCTGGGATCATGACCTGAGCCGAAGGCAGTGGCTTAACCAACTGAGCCACCCAGGTGCCCCCATCTTTTAAACTTTTAATAGAGGATGGTTTGAGGTAATTTTTTTTTTTTTCCAGCTTAGCAGGGAGAGGGAAGGGGGGAGGAAATAAATCTGAGGAGAGAAAAAGCTAGGATACCAGGAAACTATATTCCACCTCTCCCATCCCCCACCCCCTTTTTAAAAAGTAATAGGGAAGGAAGATACATGGTGCCTTTGGCTTTTTATTAAAGCACTGTTCAGAAGTTTTCCTCAGGACAGTCACTTTACTCAGAGGCAAACATTTTTTATTCTGTGAGATGTTTTCCTATTAGATACAGTAATATCGCATTTATACAGAGTCTAGACTTCCCTTTCCCATCAGGAGAAGCATAGTAGGATTCCGGAAGTAAGACAGAGGCTCATGAAATAATTTTCCTAAAGCCTCCTCTTTTGTTTGATTTCCTAAGAAGGTGGAATCTAAAAAACCAGTGCAGAACCTCAACATTTTTAATCATTTTGGTGATCTATTATATGCTACCAAAGTAATATGCTCCCTCTGGGAATCCTGGAAGCAAAACTTGAGGCAGCTTTAAGGGCATGATACAATAATAATGTAAGTAAAAAGTTAATGTTTGGTAATTCAGGAAGAGGCAGAAAAGTTTGTTTTAAAAAGTGTGATAAAATTGAATTGATTTTGTCTAAGTAGCATTTATTAAATGTTTGTTGTGTACATGGCATGGATAGTCCATACATACTTCAGAATTCAGTTTGTCCAGAAGTGAACTCCTCGTCACTCACTCACTAACCCTGAATCTGTTCCTCCTGTGCCCCCTATCTCAAGCCCCAACAACTCATCATTGCACTTAAACTGGGAACTTCTTAACATAGACCATAAACCCGTCATATCTCCACCTTCTCTTTCACCATTCTTACCTTTGTACTTTACACTTCGGTCATGCTGGAATTCTTTCAGCTGCATGAATAAGTCATGCCCTCTGTCATTCTGAGCTTCTGAAATTCTGTCTGGAACACTCTTGTCCTTTATAGCTGGCCAATTCTTGCTCTTTCTCCAGGTCTTAGCTTGTGTGTCGCTTCTAGAAAGATGTCCCTGATACTCCCAGCCTGGATGAGGCGATCTTCTTGTGTGTGCCTTTAACAATATTGTACTGTTTTTGTCTGTGTTGTGTATCATACCATATTGTAATTGCTTGTTCATATGTGTGTTTCCCCCAACTAGTGTGTAGGCTTTGTGAAGACAGAGACTATGCCTCGTACTTGTCATTATGTCCTTTGCATGTAGCACATTTTGAAATGCATGGACGTAGAAGCACTGTGTCTTACAGGAGTGTAACTCACAATGTAGCAGGGAGATGCACAGTAATACGTAGTTGTGTGTGATGCTGCAGTGTAGAGAAAGTAACTGAAGAAAATGTTTATGAGGTAAAGATTTTCATTGAAGTAGTTAAAATAAGTTCTCACTACAAAAATGTAATTATGGGAGGTGTTGCCCTTATTTTAGTGATCATTTTACTCTGTGTGTGTGTGTGTGTGTGTGTGATTATCACATTGCATATCTTATGCACACACAGTTATATGTCAATGGGATCGCAACAAACCTGGGAAAAAAGTGGTTATAATGAAAAGTTTGACACAAAAAGAGGGAAAATGGGAATGGGAAAAATCACTTTTCTAGAATCTCATGCTGGATAAATGAAATTTTACTGTATTAAAGTTTTTTTTTTTTTAATTTAAACAAGTAGCCCAGAGAAACAATTCATGGCATGCATATTTCACATATTTCTAGATTTTCAAGATTTTAATTTACTTGCATATGTTTATAGAGCTATTTTAAGTTAAATTTTAGGTTAAGCCATATGAAATTACTATTTTCATGGTCAAATGTTAGCCATTTCATATTTTCAACCTTTGAATATAGATGAAATTACTGGCTCTTTTGGAGGGGAAGAATTATTGTTTGATGATGATATTCTTCTGTTTTCAGTATGCGTTGCCTCTGCAACTAGTGAATAACCAAACCATGACCGCGTGGATGGAGATCTTTCGAACTATTATTGACAGAACGGTTCCTCCTGTAAGAAAGGGCTTCTTGTTGAGAAAAATTGGGAAAACTTGGGTTTGGGATATTTGTGGTAGACTGATTTATTATCCTGGCTTGCTGTTTGGAAAAAAATTACTATTGTAATAAAAATAGTAATACATATTATTTTTATAAAGTTCAGATAAGCAAAATTAATTAACTGTATTTAATATTACTAAAGATAATAAAAACCATTTTTAAAACTTGGTATTTATTCTTTTGGCCTTTTTTTCCCTCTGGGTCTATATACAGGCACATTTTATTTATAAAAATGGCATCTGTAGGTCCTGTTTTGAAATTTTCACTTAAAATCTCTTATAAATATTTTTTATGATTATGAATGTTTTTGTACTGTCACTTTTATGGAGTGTTTCATTTGCTGAACATTAGGTAGCTTTAGCGTGTTAGTGTAACTGTAAGGATGTAGTTAAATTTTTATGCACATACATGATTATTTTCTTTGGATAAACTCCTAGCAGTGTTTAGGGCTTTGACAGATCTTGTAAAGTGCTCTCGAGAAACATTGCTCTGGCTTATACTTTAATAAGTACGGACTGAGAAAGTCTGTCACATTAAATTCTAAGTTTGCCAGTTTGATAGGTTAAAGATGGTGTCTCATTTTTTTCTGTAATAACAATGATGCTATATGTCACTTATCAAATTAACTCAATAACTAGTCAAAATAACTAATTAAATTACGTATTTTAAAATTTAAGTTTGTCTTCAAATGTGCAGTATTCTTTCTTTTATCCGTATCTTGGGACAAATTATGTTGAGGTTTACTTTATATACAAAATGTACAGAACTTAGGGAACAGATAAGTGAATTTTGACAAATACACACCTGTGTTACTATTACCCAGCTCAAGATATAAAATCTTTTTGTTGTCCCAGAGTTTCCTCAAGGGATGTGGTGTTTTGTATTTTGTTTCCCACTTATTTGGGCCTTTTGAAGATAGGAGATAAATGTGAACAACAGCATTAGTTAGTTGAAATTTGCTTTGCTTGTGTATTTTTTTTTCAAAATTTTAAAAGATTTTATTTATTTATTTGACACAGAGAGAGAGATCACAAGGAGGCAGAGAGGCAGGCAGAGAGAAAGGGGGAAGCAGGCTCCCTGCTGAGCAGAGAGGGCGATGCAGGGCTCGATCCCAGGACCCTGAGATCATGACCTGAGCCGAAGGCAGGGGCTTAACCCACTGAGCCACCCAGATGCCCCTGCTTTGCTTAATTCCTGTGTAGCAATCTATAAGTAAGAATATGCATTTGCAATCTAACTCATGTGTAATATTACTTAATGTATAAAAAAATTTATTCTGCCTTTGTTGTTTGAATAAACCGTTTTATTTGGAAATGTAACCTGGGTGTTTCTGTCCTCTTAGGAGACTCTGCAGATCGATGAGGATGATAGACCGGAATTAGTCTGGTGGAAGTGTAAGAAATGGGCACTGCACATTGTAGCTCGTCTCTTTGAGCGGTAATTTTGTTCATCAGATCATCTTATGATCAATATTTCAGTATTGGATGTAATAAGACTGGATGGGTCCCTTGATACTCCACAGTAAATTATTATTTTTCTTTAAAAGCCATAGTGGGCCAAAAAAAAAAAAGTCACCCTCTGTTTTAAGGTAGGCTTAACTGTGATAGTTGGCTTTGAGATCGTAACGATGTGGACAGTCTTCTCTGGATCTTTCTGTTCTGTGAAAAAGAATGGAGAAATGACCTTGTTTAGCTCATTGGAAATCTGTAGAAATTGTACAAGAAGGTGCATGGCTACTCAGCTCCATCGGAAAGTTAGTCAAATTGAATTATAGAAACATTTATTTAAAAAAAAGTCAGATATAATTTTTATTTGTAAAATGTGCCCTTTAGAAGCTCTCGGTTAAGTAGGTGGATTTAATTATGGGCCAGAATCTAAATCCAAGGTCATCATGATTCCATCTTGGGGATTGTGGAAAAAGGGGAAAGTGTTAGTTTTCTGCCCAAATAGATCTTTTAGCAAGGGACTGTATTTAAACAAGTGAGCATGCTTTTTAAAAAAAAATTATAATATTTAAATGTTTTCTCTTTGTATTTTAAGATATGGAAGCCCAGGAAATGTCACAAAAGAATACTTTGAATTTTCTGAATTCTTTTTGAAAACCTATGCGGTGGGAATTCAGCAGGTAATAAAAATATGCTTTTTAAATGGAAGGACAGTTATTGAAAGTAGTTAAGTTGGGGCACGGGGGTGGCACAGTCAATTAAGTGTCTACCTTGGGCTAAGGTCATGATTCTGAAGTCCCCGGATCGAGCCCTGCTCGGGTTCCCTGCTCAATGGAGAGTCTGTTGCTTCTTTTCTCTCTGCCCTTCTCCCCCAACTCTTGCTCTCTCTTGCACACACTCTCTCTCTTTCAAATAAATAAATAAAATCTTGAAACAAAAAAGACAGTAGTTAAGTCATTTCTATGCATTTAGAAGTAGACTGTGAACATATTAATACATTATATGTTAATAGGGGATGAAGTGGCAGCTCTGGGAATCTAATACAGTGCAGTCACTTTTAAAACCAGATATCCCAGGGCAGCTTCCACAAGAAGTGCCCTTCCAAACTCCTAGATGCTAGACTCAGACCTTTTAAGTTTGTTGATTCTGATGTCCCAGTGCCCAGTGCTTAGATAGGGTTTGTCTGTTAACTTTCTGACCTCTTATGGGTTTCTTACTCTCTACTCCTTTGATCCTCTCCTCTTTGTTCTAAGCTTTTATATCAGAAGATTTATGTGATGAATTGATCTGTTTCAAGAGGGATGGAGCTCAGAAGTTAAGACCTTCAGCTGAGAACTTACCACATATTTTTGTGGAAGTTTGGGAACCATTTTGTACAGTGAAAATAGTTCTTGAGAAATAATCCAAGTTGGTATTAATATTTAAAACCTACATGGGGCACCTGCTTGGCTCAGTCATTAAGCGTCTGCCTTCAGCTCGGGTCATGGTCCTAGGATTCTGGGATCAAGCCCCGCATCGGGCTCCCTGCTCAGCAGGAGGCCTGCTTCTCCCTCTCCCACTCCCCCGGCTGTGTTCTCTCTCTCACTGTGTCTCTGTCTAAATAAAAAATCTTAAAAAAAAACCCCAAAGCCTATAGAGGACATTTCAGTGTGAAGATTGGTTGACCTGTATTGCCATTTAAGTCCCATTTTTGTTTATATTTCAACAAATGAAGTTTAATAATAATATTATTATTAATAATAATATTCCAGCACTGGCTGTATCAAGACTGCAACAAGGAAGCAAGGATTAATTAAACATAGTAAAGGCCATTAACAGTATAGAGGGTGTTTCTAGATTTGTATAAATCTGTGCATATTAGTCTTCTTTATTGTCAGTGATACCAAGTTAAATACTTCAGTGCTGTCATCATAGATGGAATACTTCCTTTTATGGATGATTGTTTCTAAGAAAGGACCTTGCAACAATTCAGGAAAGCTATGGCTATAATTTTCTCACAAATTACTTTGTTGGCCCACAAGGCAGTCGGTGGGGAAAATTAGTGAATAATGATCTGTTAATGAACTAGTGAAAGTTAGTGGATAAAATGATCTGTTCAGCCATTCTCTGTGGAAACTAGGATAATCAGGAAGCGGGTCAGCTCTGTCTTCTGCTGTTTCCATGGCTGTTAAACTCATTAAGCATCCTAAAGTTGATGCCCTCTTGAAGTGTGCTCAGCCCAGTTTTTCTGGTGCCACCTAAACGTATGTATGTTGTACATACATACACTTGCAGATTTCATGGCCTTTCATCCATGTCTAAGCCATTTGTTCCTATATATTCCTGGTATTTAAAAATTGTTCTCTCACAAAAAACTATTCTCCTCTTAGCTGTTTCTCCTCTCCCACCACCTCCACCCCATAGAGGCCACAGTGGTCTTAGGAAGAATCGTGTGCAGTAGCATCCACTTGTAGCTCGCATCGCAGACAGGGCATCGAGGTGATGGCAGGACTTCTGACAACTTTGATAAAGTTGGTTAGAAGTGGGACAAGTGGCTGGGAATTACAGTGAGACATCCTTCAGTTCAATATAACGTGGACCTAATAAAATTGTCTGTGAGTTTTCTCGCAAGATGTTGATTTCCCCCCAAAATCTGTTGTTGTTTTTTTTAATCTCTAAGGATTCTGGGTTTTATGTCATACCTAAAATGCCCCTCCCCTTAACCTTTAAATTATTTATGTTCTCCTGAACTTTTTTCCCCTCTTTTCCTGTAGGTACTACTAAAAATTTTAGACCAATATAGACAGAAAGAGTATGTAGCCCCCCGTGTTCTTCAACAAGCATTCAACTATCTTAATCAAGGGATTGTTCATTCTGTCACCTGGAAGCAGATGAAGCCACACATACAGGTTAGTGTCAGGGAATTGCCCTCCAAGATTTTCCTGTGGTTAAGTTAGGTTCTCCAGACAAGGTAAGCTACTAATCCTGTATTATATGTTTAATATATTTTTATTTCCATGACTAATTTCAAATGCATGCAGTTTTATATCTGATATGATGGGCATTGAAATTTAAGTATTTGAGAAGAGTGAGACCTACAAGTTTAATGAGTTGTAAGACCTGGATTCAGTTGGTCTCGCTTGGAGTCTCATTCAGCCTCAGTTTCCCTTCTGTTTAGTCAGGTAATATTTTTCTATCCTTATTATCTAAAGGTTACTAGGCTCACATGTGGCATTTTATGTGATAACATTTTGAAAAGAGTCACCAAGGCTCTACTAAGTTATTATTATTTTGCAGGAAATGAAACAAGATCATTTTCTTTTGTATAACAAGATTTTTATCTCTCTTTGGGGATTAAGTTCAAAGTTTTCTGTTTTTGTATCGGTTGTTTACTTAAAGATAGAATTCAGCATCATTGTTTAATTAAAGAACAAATGAGGATGAAAATTATTGCCTATTAATAAATAAATTCTTATTTGCATATAGATAATTTTGGGTAATTCAAAGAGGTTAAGAACTGAATTTTTTTCCCTCTCAAACCAAGATTTCTTAAATTCTATAATCTCTGTGATAGTATATGAAAAGGAAAATAAATTCTTTTACTTTGCCTTTGCTGTCCAGGATAGACACCAAACAATAGACAAAAACAATTCGTTTAGTGTTACCTTATTGCTGGTCTTATAAATATAATATTTTTGTATTATTTTCTTTGGGCATCTTAATAATATTTGTCTAATCCCCTGGATCAAATAGTGGTAGTTTCTTTGCCATTAATAAAGATACCAATTTCATTTTATATACTATGTTGTTACAAATAAAGAGTGGATTTTTTTTCCTAATGCCTATGGCCTTTATTTTTTACATTGCTGAAATGTAGGAATAAGAAAAGTCCAATCCCTCGGTTGAATTTTTTCTCCTAGAATTTAATTTAGAAAAAGTGAGAAGAGATGATTCTATTTTTACATTTGTAGTTGTTAAAGCACAAACAGGCTTTGTAGAGCTTTAGCAGCAGTGTACACAGAGGCTATTAGATACCATTTTTTCCCCCACTGAAATCTACATTTCTAGAGTAGGAAATTTTTTTGAAAATGGAAGAGGAAAAGAAATTTTAATATTGCTGGTTCATTGACATTTATGGCCAAAAATGGAAATGTAAAAATGTTCACAATATAACCTTGGCTTGATACTTCCTTTTCTTCCTTAAAGAATTAAGGTGTGTTTAATATTGATTTGTTAGTAAAACTTTATTATCGCTGCTGTTGCTTCAAAGAATAGCATTTCCATTCATCTCTTTCCCTGTACTTTTGATCATTTATTGTTTAAAAACAATCTTAAGTTTAGCTCTTTCTCCCCTGCTCCCTCCAGCTCTTGCTTTCCTGCTTTCCCCTCAGTCAGTACAAGCTTACCACAAGATTAATTTAACAGTCTGGAAAACTAACATCATAAAGACTGTCAGTAACTATGTTATTAATATTCTCCAAATTTGAATAGCCCAAAGCCCATTTGTTGTTTTGTTTCTTCTCAGAATATCTCCGAAGATGTAATTTTTTCTGTGATGTGTTACAAAGATGAGGATGAAGAGCTGTGGCAAGAAGACCCATATGAGTACATAAGGATGAAATTTGGTAATCAAGATGATTTTATTCCTCAACAGTTCCTGCAAATGTAGAGTACTGTAACTAAATTTGTATTTTTAAGCAGATTTTATTACTTTGTTAAATTCTGAAAGTTCTGTATTTCCTGATAAACTCTGAAACTCATGAGAGTTTGATGTTCTGTTAAGCCAGTGGACTTGAGGCCTTAGCATGTAGATGATGGAAAGCTTGTCTTGTTCATCTCTCTTGGGGGTGCCGAAGCAGTCAGGGAGCCATCTTCAACTTTTCCTGTTATGATGCTGAACCGGAGAGACCATCCCTTTTGGTACCTTTTGGGATACGCATTTCTAGATTGGGTTGTTCTTAGTCTGGGAGATTATTTGGATTTCTGCATATTTTGTGAGCACCCCAATTTAGTATGCTTCTTAATTTTAGTGGCTAAGTATTCCACAACAGAGAGTAAGAATATCCCTGCATGACCCTGTTCTTTGGAGGTAACTTTTCATTTGGAACTTTAGTTACTGAACCATGTAGGTTGGTTGAGTTTATTCCATTTTATCCCCAGTCTAAACTAATTGCTTCATGGAACGCTCAGGCATTTCACATAGCAGAATGTTGCTTGTGTACCTCTTTCTCCTACAACTTCATGCTTTTTAAGGGGAGGGGCTTTATCTTGTTCATTTGCTTTATTTTGCATTCTCCATCCCTTCTCCACCTCTCCATTCCTCTACTAGTGCTTGGCTCTAGTAGCCATTCCATCAAGGTTGGAGTAAAGAATTGATAAAACTAGCACTGCCCCAGGCACATTGAAGATAGTGACAACACAGTGCTTTTCCCTTGTTGGGCCATGTGTCTGTGGCTACTTGAGTTAGGCCTGCTGGTGGAGGTGCTAGATGATTGGGTTATGTTGTTTTTATAGTGCTCTGTATTTAGTATCAGTTGACTCAGTAACCAAGGGAGTGCCTCTTCTCTTGGGGACAAGTACCAGAGAGGCAAATGAAGGAGAAACAGTATTTACCATCTGCCTTATACCTTCATTCCACTGTTTCCTTTTGAAAATCATTTTACATATGCATGATTTATTATTTCCCCTTCCTAATGCCTTTTGTTTTGATTAGCCAGTCTTTCGTCTGTTCTCAAGGCATTATTTTAGTGTTTAGTTTTTCTATAATACCTGTGTGTTTTTGTAACAGCCAGAGTATTTGTTTAGTGTTCAGAAAGCTACCATTATTTCATTTACTCTTTATGTAAAATAGGATAGTATCTCAGTTTTTAAAAAATTTATTTATTTTTTTTAAATTTCTTTTCAGTGTTCCAGAATTCATTGTTCATGTACCACACCCCATGCTCCATGCAATCCGTGCCCTCCACAATACCCACTACCCCCAATCCCCTCCCCTCCAAAACCCTGTATCTCAGGTTTCAGAAATATAATAATAAACATCTGTGAGTGTTGATTGACAGAATTAACATTTTATTGATTAAAGAGAATATGGATAATTCAAGATGAACTCAAATGCTTTTTTGAAAAAAATCATTTTCTTTTGTGGACTAGGATATAGTGCCTATTATTCAATATGTGTATTTTTCTTTTGGATAACTGTAGGGAAGAACAGTTATATAGTTACGTAGTTTTCTTTTTATATTTTTGTCATTTACAGCTATTTATTGAACAAGGTATTCTTATCTAAATGCGTTGGCATTAATAATGTTTTTAGATTTGGTAAAAACTATGAGAGCATAGGCTCTTGATGTTAAGACAGTGTGGGTGCAATTCTGTCTTGGTCACTTACTCACTGTGTGTCTGTGGGCAAGTTACTTAGCCTCTCTAAGACGCACTATTTTCAGCTATAAAATCAGCGATATTAATAGTCTTGGGAGGATAAAGTGGGATAATACATGTACACTAACTTCCTTAACTGCTTAGAGTAGACTATTCGATGCTTGTAAAATCTCAGCAGAGTGCCTGCCAAAGAGTAAGTGCTGGGTGCAGTAGGTAGTCTCATGAGTATAGTGTCTGGCCCGCAGTACCTGTTAGTTATTAGTATTATTGCATTTGTGTTTTATATATTGGCAAAGACTTAGATTTGGTCTTATTTTTATACTTAAATATGGACATATGATATGAGATACTTTTCAAATACCTGCCTGTTCTGAAATTTGGAAATTTTCATGATGTTCAGTTGTGTGTTTTAAAAGTGGTGTGTTATATATTCAGAAATACCCATTGAATACTGCTGAATCTGCCTGTTGATAGAGCCAAGCACTGACCTCGTAGTCCCCCAAGGCTTTTACACTTGCAGTTTCCTTTGTTTGGAAAGCTTTATCTTTAGATCTCCACGTAGAGTTTTCTCTCTCCTTCATTCAGTTTCTGCTTAAGTGTTAGCCCAGCAGAGAATTAAAGAGGCTTTCCTTGACACCATATTTAAACTAGCACTCCATATAACCTCGCTCTCTTCTATAACCTCACTCTCTTCTTCCTTACCCTATTGTACCTGTTGTGTGTGTATGTGTATAATCGGTTTCTTTCTCTTACCTTGTGAATTCTGTGAGAACCCTTTTTGTTTGATCCTTGTATCCCCAGAATCTAGAGCAATGTCTGGCACATAACAAGCACTAAATAAATGTTTGTCTTAGTGAAATGGATATACCTTATATATATTATTCTCTTTAATATGATTGTTTAAAAGGACAACATATAGAGATTGTTAAATAATTATTGTGCATGGGAGCACTGATGATATATCCTTAACTTTTTTATGCTGTAAACCAGGGTCGTATGTGGGCACTTTTTATTTTTTTGTTTTGGAGTAGTGCTCTATTGGGTTTAAAATCTTTAATAAGAAATTGTATTTTTACTAATGTGGTTTAACCTTTTAAAATCTTAGATATTTTTGAAGATTATGCTTCTCCCACCACAGCAGCCCAGACTCTCTTGTATACTGCTGCAAAGAAAAGAAAAGAGGTATACAGTTACTCTTTTTAAATCCAAAGTTGAAAGATCGACTATGTTGCTTTGACACCAGTTACACACCTACTATTTGAAAAAAATTATATTATTTGTTTTAATCTAACACTTGAATATTTTCCTGTCCTTGTTAGGGAAAAGGGTTGCTTTCTTAATTGTAATTGCTTGATAAAACACAATAAAATGGCTTCAGTTTAAAAAATTTGTGTATCACACTTAACACTGTGGTAGTAAGGCAGTGAAAGCTCACATAGACTAAAACGGATTCCTCTGTTTCTCTAGGTGTTGCCAAAAATGATGGCATTTTGTTATCAAATCCTAACAGACCCAAACTTTGATCCAAGGAAGAAAGATGGAGCCCTGCATGTGATTGGTTCCTTGGCTGATATTTTATTGAAGGTCAGGCTACTCATAATATAATTTACTTAATTTAAGCACAGTCAAATGAGAGAATATGAAAGTAGTGAATAATTTAAAACTTGTGACTGCTTCTGCATAATTGAGTTGACTGTAAACATCCTTTTTTCTGTCATCTGTGTCTTTATTTAAAAAGAAAATCTCACTTTGTCAGTTTTTCTGTATGAAACTGTTGCCAGGGCGCCTGGGTGGCTCAGTTGGTTGAGCAACTGCCTTCAGCTCAGGTCATGATCCCAGACTTCTAGGATCGAGTCCCGCATCGGGCTCCCAGCTCCTTGGGGAGTCTGCTTCTCCCTCTGACCTTTTCCTTTCTCATGCTCTCTCTCACTCATTCTCTCTCAAATAAATTAAAAAAAAAAAAAAAAAAAAAAAAAAGAAACTGTTGCCATATGAGAAAAGGATACAAAATGACTAGTGTTATTTGTTGCTACAAAAATCAGTCGGGGGCACCTGGGTGGCTCAGTTGGTTAAACAACTGCCTTCAGCTCAGGTCATGATCCTGGAGTCCCAGGATCAAGTCCCACATCAGGCCCTCTGCTCAGCAGGGATTTGGCTTCTCCCTCTGCACCTCGCCCCTCTCATGCTCTCTCTCAAATAAATAAAATCTTAAAAAAAAAAAAAAATCAGTCAGTACCAAATTATAGGTAAGGTACTATTTCTGTCTTGTTTTAAAATGCATAATATGTAGGTCAAATAATTTTATAAAATTGTACATAGAAGTATATTAAGCATAAGTCATAACAAACATACTTTATTCGGTTGTGATTTTTATATGAAAATGCATTGCTAAGTTTAAACTTCATTTCTATTTCCTTACAGAAGACTTTATTCAAGGACCAAATGGAGTTGTTGCTGCAGAATCATGTATTTCCATTACTGTTGTCTAACCTGGGATACCTTCGGGCTAGAGTAAGTTTTCCATATTTCCATTATGTATCTTAAAGTGTTCATTTGAGGGGTGCCTGGCTAGCTCAGTTGGAAGAGTATGCGACTTGATCTTGGAGTCACATAGGGATCATGAGTTCGAGCCCCACGCTGGGTGTAGAGATTATTAAAAAAAAATAAACTTTAAAAATGTTTTTGGATAAAATGACCTTTTACCATATATTGGGATAAAATGAAGTCAATTAGAATGTCCCTTATGGTCACCTAAGCTGAATAAAAAGCTAATAAATAATGGATTTATGGATTTTAATTTCAGCTGCTTTAAATTTTCACCCTAGCCCTACTTGCTGCATTTGTAACACATGCAGGGAGAGGGATGATGTTACAGCAGTAATACAATGTAAATTCGTAGACTGATTCATTTTTAGTACCTAAAACAGCATGACATTCTAGTTTGGTTAAAAACTTGATTAGTATAAATCGTATATTAGGTCGATATATATGCCTTAGGAAAATGGAGAAAATAACAATCCATGTAAACTTATTCATGTTCTAAGTGTATATTACTTCTAAAATCAATATCTTTTATGGAGAAATAAAAATAGAGCATTAATTCAAGAGCCTAGTATTTATCTTTATAAGTACATCAAAACAAAAAATGTCTTGCTATAAAGAACATATGTTAACAATGTCTTACACACTAAAGCATTTTATAAACAGAAGGTAATGTTCACTGGAGAAGTATTTGGGCGCATGTAGATTAGAGGTGCAGAGGGCGTACAAGTGTTTTTATAGGTAAGCTGTTGTCTTTGACAGCTGTATGAATTGTAACTCTCTTGCTAAAAAGTCTTTGGTAATTCAAATTACCATTCCTTGTATGTTTTATGTATATAGAGAATTAAAGTAATAATAGGATTCTGTGATCTAATGGTTTAAAATTTGGTAACCTCTAGAAGGTTAAAAATTCTTCATACCTTATATGAGGAAAAAAAAAAAAAAGAAAGAAAGAAAAAAAGGAAGCTTGCTAAGTCCTGATGCTGGTAAGGGAAAATAATGTTTCATTTGTTTGCTGTGAAGGCCAGCAAATGAAAGTCAAACACTGGTTTGTAGTAGCTCTTACATGTAACTAAATAACAAATTAATTATGATTCATAGGATTTATCAACCTTGAACAGGATTTCTTTTTTCAGAGACACTTCAACTTGGTTCCATTTTCTTTTCCTTGTGAAAAATGCATATAGATAATTTAGAAGTTACAAAACTGCCTTTTTATTTTTTTATTTTTATTTTTTATTATTTTTTAAAGATTTTATTTATTTATTTGACAGAGAGAGATCACAAGCAGGCAGAGAGGCAGGCAGAGAGAGAGGAGGAAGCAGGCTCCCTGCTGAGCAGAGAGCCCGATGCGGGGCTCGATCCCAGGACCCTGAGATCATGACCTGAGCCGAAGGCAGCAGCTTAACCCACTGAGCCACCTAGGTGCCCCAAAACTGCCTTTTTAAATAAAAAAACGGGAGATCCAGAAGTTAGCAACTGAGGCTAATATGCTACCCTCCCAAAACAAATAGTACTTGGTAGAGTTAACAATATTTTACTTAGTAAGAAGTTCCTTTATGCATGATTTTATTATAGAATGCCATAATCCTAATAGTTCCCTACTTAACTTCTTCTAACATAGTCCTGCTGGGTACTTCATGCATTCAGTTCTCTGAAGTTTCATAATGAGCTTAATCTAAGAAATGCAGTTGAACTGGCAAAGAAGAGCCTGATTGAAGATAAGGAGATGCCTGTCAAAGTTGAAGCTGCCCTTGCTCTCCAGTCATTAATTTCTAACCAGACACAAGGTAAAGCCAAAAATACCTTTTAGAAAGTTTATTCTATTTTTATTTTTACATTGTCTTCTCAAATAGTTGCTTTACTTACTTCTCTAATAAGGATGATTCTCGATGTCTTAAGGTTCAGGGTTTAGATTTCTGAACCTTTGCCCCCTCACAATTTCATAGGAGTTTATTCTTCCTCTTTTTAGGAGTTCCTATTGACTGGTTTCCAGAAAAGTTTTATTTTTTTTTATTTTAAAGATTTTATTTATTTATTTGACAGAGAGAGACCACAAGTAGGCAGAGAGGCAGGCAGAGAAAGAGGAGGAAGCAGGCTCCTTGCAGAGCAGAGAGCCCGATGTGGGGCTCAATCCCAGCACCCCGGGACCATGACCTGAGCCAAAGGCAGAGGCTTTAACCCACTGAGCCACCCAGGCGCCCCTCCAGAAAAGTTTTAGATTAGGAAATAAGTTGGTTACCGTTGGGCCCTGGGGTAGACTGGGAATCAAGAGACCTGGTGTCTAGTTTTGATTCCGCTACTCGGTTGCTGTGTCAAGGGTTAGATAGCCGTATATTTAAATTCAGGGGTTTGGACTGGATGGCCTCAGGTGTCCTTTCCACTCTAGGATTCTGTGATTCTACTAGTTCCGAAAGTAGCAAGTGGTATTTTTAGTGAGTGATAACACAGATAAATCATTTGTTTGTTTAGAAGACTATCATTTAAAGTTCAGGTAAACCTTTGGAAGTAAATTCAGTTTTATGAAGAATATGAGCCTAGTTTACTTTCATTCAGCAGTGTTTCAGTGAACATTGTACAAGGATATGTGGTGGGGAATGGGCACCATCAATATTGGGCATAGTTTTTATCTACATGATTTTTTATGCTTGTATCTTGATGTCATATATATGTCCCATAAGTCATGCTGGTAATAGAGCATTTGTATAATGAGCATTTCTCAGTGAAAGTTCTTGGCATTTTGGGTAGGACAGTTCTTTCCCATGTGTAGGATTGAATACTCCTAATTACTTACAGGGAGATGGATATATTGGTGAAGATCATTTTGGGATAGCTTTGTGTCTTACTTACCATAGAGCATGTATCTGCCAAGAATCTATTAGTCTATGTCACTTCATGTGACCATGTTAATTCCTTTAACCACTTGCGAATGCCTAAGTGTTTGCTGATTTTTGTTTGTTTTATTGCATTAGCTAAGGAATATATGAAGCCACACGTAAGGCCTATCATGCAGGAGCTGTTGCACATTGTTAGAGAGACTGAAAATGATGATGTTACTAATGTCATCCAGAAGATGATATGTGAATATAGTCAAGAAGTAGCCTCAATTGCTGTTGATATGACCCAACATTTGGTAAGAATGGGCAGAGGTTTATGTTAGTTTGAATGTAAATTCAGCCTTGAATAATAAAAATTAAAGCTTTGACTTACCTGAATAAATTAAATTCCAAAATTTGAAATTTAGTTTTATAAGCAATTGAAATGTTAATATAAAAGTGTTTGCTCTAATAATTCTGACAGTTGTTAGTTTCTGTAGTTAATTAGACTTAAATCTAATAACATTGAGATTATTTCATCTGTAGTATTCTGAGATTTTATAATGATGTGCTTTGATATGAGCCTTCTAAATATTCACTTTCTGAGCTTGAATCTGGAAACTAATTTCTTTCAGTTTTGGGCAACTTCTTGAATTACTTATTTGGTTAATTTCTCCCTACCATTTCCCCTCCCCCCCGTTCTGTAAGTCTGATATTGGATATGGGGTCAGGACTGAGTCTTTATTTTTCTACCTTTTTTCTCCTGTCTTCCATGTCTGTCTGTCTTTTTTGTTTCATTTTCCTGGTGATCTCTTGATTTTGTCTTTTACCTTCTATTAAATTTTTCATTTGAGTATTGCTAGATTTCACTTTTCACAGACTTTGGGTTTATTTGTTTAATGATAACCAGAAGTTAAAAAATAGCTATCTAATTGTTGTAACTATTGTATATTCCACTCTAGTGATTAGTTAAGGAAAAAAATGTCACATATTTAAAACATGACCATTTCTATCATTGATTTACTCAGCAATGTGTGTAACTTAAGTGTGAGCAAGTGTGAGTGCCATTGCCCTTTTATTAACTTATAACAACAGCAAGGGGTGGGTATAACAGTACTGATTTTTGAATGTGTATATGTTATGTTCATAGGCTGAGATATTTGGCAAAGTTCTTCAAAGTGATGAATATGAAGAAATTGAGGACAAAACAGTAATGGCTATGGGAATTTTACATACTATTGATACTATCTTGACAGTTGTAGAAGATCATAAAGAGGTGCGATTTCTTTGTGTTTTATTATGTCATTTTAATAACATTAACTGAAATTTATGTGATCAATGGGCATGACTTTAAACTAGCTATTTTGTTATTTTGCTAGATTTTAAAAGTTACTTTCAAATATCAAAGGAACATTCTAAAATAATTGAAGGGGGGAATATTAACATGTTGTAAGATACATAGTATATTCCTTTGTACTAAACTGAGTTTCGTTTATCATATTCTAAACTAGGTTGTTGGGGAATATCAAATTGAGTAAGACATGAGCTCTGGCTTGTGGAACCCACAGTCTAGTCTTCTTGATAGAGAGATAGCCATTCATTCACAGTGGCAGTTATTAAATAATGGAATGAAATTCAAATGTAACAGCCATCATGAGAATGGAAGGGAAGAAGAGCTTTCTTTCCTAAACTGAATTCATTTCTTTCCTAAATGAAATTCAAATGTAACAACCATCATGAGAATGGAAGGGAAGAAGAGCTTTCTTTCCTAAACTGAATTCCAGAAGAATATTGGGAAAAGAATCTTTCCTAAACTGAATTCCAGAAGAATATTGAGAAAAGAATTTGTGCAGATAGTTAAGAGCTTTCCCCTGTATTAGCGGATAGAATTTTACTAATGTTACTTTGAGATCACTAGAGCAGGTAAATTGATGGTGTTCTTGTGCAGAAGTGGAAAACAAGTTCAGGTAGTATTGAGGAATCTGCTCACTGCCACAGACTTTTGGGTTTATAGTCAGATTATTCTGATAATATATCCATTCATCTCCACCCGAGACCTTCTGCTGTCCTTCCCAGGCATTACATAGTCTCTCCTTAAATCAGATTTGAGTTTGTTACTTCTGTGAGCTTAAGCTGACTTGCTTAAGCAGAATGGCAGAAGCTCCTGTTTCGTACAGTGTGACTTAGGAAGCAGGTGCTGGTTCTTTAAATAGCATTGTTAAACCCTGTGGCTGTTGATTTATCCTGTGTTTATCATGTACCAATGGAAGATTACCAGATTCTTTTTAAAAAAATATATTTTTTTATTTTAAAAGATTTTATTTGTTTATTTGACAGAGAGTGAGAGAGGGAACACAAGTAGGGGGAGTGGGAGAGGGAGAGAAGCAGGCTTCCGACTGAACAGGGAGCCCAATGAGGGGCTCGATCCCAAGGATCGATCATCAATTATTAGATCATGACCTAAGCTGAAGCAGACACTTAATGACTGAGTCATCCAGGTGCCCTGATTACCAGATTCTTTTTTTCGTTTGTTTGTTTGTTTTTAAAGATTTTTCTTTATTCGACTGACAGAGATCACAAGTAGGCAGAGAGTCAGGCAGAGAGAGAGGGGGAAGCAGGCTCCCCACTGTGCAGAGAGCCCGATGCGGGACTCGATTCCGGGACCCTGAGATCGTGACCTGAGCCGAAGACAGAGGCTTAACCCACTGAGCCACCCAGGTGCCCCCCTGATTACCAGATTCTTAAAAGCAGTTTTGATAGTCTTCTCCTGGGCAGGCCTCCTTCACCTAAAAGGCTAAATGTGAATTTTTACTTCCATATTTGTTATTTTGTTTTATTTTTGAATCTTTGTTAAAATTGTATGGGCCATTCAGAACAGTGAAATGCTCCAAATTAAATTAGAACAAGTATACTTGAGGATAATTCTTTTGCCTTATATGCAGAACTTGTATTTTAAATGTGGCGATGCCTGAGAAATCCCCTAGTCCAGTTTACAGAGTATGTGTGTGTGGAGGATAGGCAGTAGTAAAATGAGCCTCAGGAAAAAAAATGAGCAGCAGGATCAGTTTGAAAATAAAATTGTATTTTACCTTTCCTTTCAATTTTTTTACTTTTGATGTTAAATTTATTTTGCATTTCAAGTAAAGGAGATGTGAACTTACTGTGATTATCAAAGGAGGCATGGTTTAAAGTTGAGCACTAATCAAATCCAGCTTCCTTATCTACAGATGGAAAAAAACAAAAACAAAAAAACAAACCTGAAAGCCTTCAGTAAGTGGCTTTACCAAGATCATAGACAATTAGAGGCAAAACAAGGGCTGGAATCTTGGTCTCCTGACTGCCTGTTCTGATCTTGAACTTTGACTTATTAAAAGCAAACGTTGAGAAGAATCCTTCCTTAAAAGGAAAAATCACTTGTGTATGAATACTTGCACAAACACTTAATGTATGCAGAACAGAATTAGAAATTTAAACCAGATGCTTATGCATATGCAGTTTTGCTTTAATGGTTTTAAATATATTGACAAATTTGTAAACTGGGAGAATTTTGGAGCATTTGAACTTTAAGACTGTATTTTTTTTTCTATTTATTTTTTTTTAACATTTGTTGTTAGCATTTATTGTATATTCTTCCAGATAATGTTACTGCACATATATCTCTTTCCAGGGCTGGTTTTCAGGAGTATGCAGTGATAAATAAGTGTATCAATTATTTACAACTGGCAGCCATTCTGGTGGTTTCGTGTCCACGATGGCAACATATGTTGATTATTTAATACAGTACTTTAAAACTGAATATTCAGAGAATATGCCCCAAACTTGAAATAGGAGACTCAGATGAAAAATGTAACCCATGATGGAATTTAATTTTTATTTACTTAAAAAATATTTAGTACAACATATGTTGAAAAATCCAAAAGGTGTGAAAGGACAGTGAAAATTCACTTTCTCCCTCAGCTCCCCAGATCTAGTTCTCTCTGGAGGTAGCTCCCTAATGAGGTCTTTGTATCCTTCCAAAGATTTTTTTTTTCTATTGTAATAGCTAAGCAAAAGAATGTGTATATTTTTCTTTTATGAAAATAAAATAGCATAAAGTTTTGGTTTTTTAAAATTTTATTTCTTTTCAGTGTTCCAAAATTCATTGTTTATGCACCACACCCAGTGCTCCATGCAATCCGTGCCCTCCGCAATACCCTCCACCAGGCTCACCCAACCCTCCATCCCCCTCCCCTCCAAAACCCTCAGTTTGTTTCTCCGAGTCCACAGTCTGTCATGGTTCTTCTCCTCCTCCAATTTCCCCAACTCACTCCTCCTCTCCATCTCCCCATGTCTTCTGTGTTACTCCCTATGCTCCACAAGTAAGTGAAACCATATGGTACTTGACTCTCTCTGCTTGACTTAACTTCACTCAGCATAATCTCCTCCAGTCCCATCCATGTTGATACAAAAGTTGGATATTCATCCTTTCTGATGGAGGCATAATACTCCATTGTATATATGAACCATATCTTCTTTATCCATTTGTCCATTGAAGGGCATCTTGGTTCTTTCCAGTTTGGTGACTGCGGCCATTCATACAGATGACCCTTCTTTTCACTACATCTGTATCTTTGGGTAAATACCCAGTAGTGTAATTGCTGGGTCATAGGGTAGCTCTATTTTTAATTTTTTGAGATCTCCACAATGTTTTCCAAAGTGGCTGCACCAGCTTGCATTCCCACCAACAGTGTAAGAGGATTCCCCTTTCTCCACATCCTCTCCAACACACATTGTTTACTGTTTTGTTAATTTTGGCCATTCTAACTGGTGTAAGGTGGTATCTCAATGTGGTTTTGATTTGAATCTCCCTGATGGCTAATGATGATGAACATTTTTTCATGTGTCTGTTAGCCATTTGTATGTCTTCATTGGAGAAGTCTATTCCTGTCTTCTGCCCACTTTTTGACATGATTATCTGTTTTGTGTGTGTTGAGTTTGAGAAGTTCTTTGTAGATCTTGGATATCAGCCCTTTGTCTGTAGTGTCATTTGCGAATATCTTCTTCCATTCTGTGGGTTGCCGCTTTGTTTTGTTGACTGTTTCCTTTGCTGTGCAGAAGCTTTTGATCTTGATAAAGTCCCAAAAGTTCATTTTCACTTTTGTTTCCTTTGCCTTTGGAGACCTATCTTGAAAAAAGTTGCTGTGGCCGATGTCGAAGAGGTTACTGCCTATGTTCTCCTCTAGGATTTTGATAGATTCCTGCCTCACGTAGAGGTCTTCTATCCATTTTGAGTTTATCATTGTGTATGGTGTAAGCAAATGGTCGAATTTCATTCTTCTACACATAGCTGTCCAGTTTTCCCAGCACATTTATTGAAGCGACTGTCTTTTTTTCCACTGTATGTTTTTTCCTGCTTTGTCGAAGATTATTTGCCCATAGAGTTGAGGGTCCTTATCTGGGCTCTCTACTTTGTTCCCCTGGTCTGTGTGTCTGTTTTTGTGTCAGTACCATGCTGTTTTGGTGAACACAGCTTTGTAGTAAAGCTTGAAATCAGGCAATGTGAGGCCCCCAGTTTTGTTTTTCTTTTTCAACATTTCCTTAGCAATTCAGAATCTCTTCTGGTTCCATACAAATTTAGAGTTGTTCCAGCTTTTTGAAAAATGCCAGTGAAATTATGAATGAAAAGGGAGAGATCACAGCAAACATCAAGGACATAGAAACAATCATCAGAAATAATAAATAAAATCTTAAAAAAAAAGAAATTATTATCAACAGTTATATGCCAATAAGTTAAGCAACCTAGAGGAAATGTATGCCTTCCTGGAAACCTATAAACTTCCAAAGCTGAATCAGGAAGAAATTGACAACCTGAATAGACCAATATCTAGTAACAAGATTGAAGCAGTGATCAAAAACCTCCCAAAAAACAAGAGCCCACGACCTGACGGATTCCCTGGAGAATTCTACCAAACATTCAAAGAAGAAATAATACCTGTTCTCCTGAAGTTGTTTCAAACAACTGGAGCAGAAGGAAAACTTCCAGACTCTTTATGAAGCCGGCATTACTCTGATCCCCAAACCAGGCAAAGACCCCACCAAGGAGTCTTAGAAGGTGGAAATTCAGACCAGTATCCCTGATGAATATGGATGCTAAGATTCTCAACAAGATCCCAGCTAATAGGATCCAACAGTACATTAAAACGATTATCCACCGTGACCAGGTAGGATTTATCTCCGGGATGCAAGGGTAGTTCAACCTTCGCAAATCAATCAATGTGATAGAACAAATCAATAAGA